CAAATGAAATTAGTAGGCAGCAGGTTTAAAACAAACAAAAGGAAGTATTTCTTCACACAATGCACAGTCAATCTCTGGAACTCTTTGCTAGAGGATTTTATGAAGGCCAAGACTATAACAGGGTTAAAAAAAAAACTAGATAAATTCCTGGAGGATAGGTCCATCAATGGCTATTAACCAGGATGGGTGTCCCTAGCCTCTGTTTGTCAGAAGCTGGGAATGAGTGACAAGGAAACGATCACTTGATGATTATCTATTCTGGGGGAGGTAGGGATACACTCAAAGAGATCGGAGGGTGGGCGGTCAAAGGTGCAGTTGGATCCTGTCATAGTTCTCAGGCTCTTTATACTGGGCAGAAGAGCTATTTTCACTGATACCTATGAGTGTTTAGAGCAGGGGTCAGCAACCTTTCAAAAGTGGTGTGCCGAGTCTTCATTTGTTCACTCTAATTTAAGGTTTCGCGTGCCAGTCATACATTTTAACGTTTTTAGAAGGTCTCTTTCTATAAGTCTATAATATATAACTAAACTATTGTTGTATGTAAAGTAAATAAGGTTTTAAAAATGTTTAAGAAGCTTCATTTAAAATTAAATTAAAATGCAGAGCCCCCCTGACCAGTGGCCAGGACCCGGGCAGCGTGAGTGCCACTGAAAATCAGCTCGCGTGCCGCCTTCAGCACACGTGCCATAGGTTGCCTACCCCTGGTTTAGCGAGACAAATTGCAGTGCACCTGCTGTTAAGAGGATGTGAAGAAAGACTGAAAGTCCTAAACACAAAGCATTGTTAAAAACAAAACAGCAACTCAGTGGAAGAGCTAGGATACTTTGACTTCAACACAAGAAAAGAACTAACAATAAACAGAAAAAAATTCTAGGTTAGATCTCCGAACCCCAGTGGGAACAAACCTACTCTGCAGTACGGTAAGTGGCTTTAGACCTCTTCCACACCAGAGATTTCAGGCTAACTTTCCTTTTACCAGAGCGCTGTCTGATTCTTAGGCCTGGCCTACATTCAGTTTTTGTAACAATATAACTATTTTTGTTAGGGGTATGTTTTTCCCCCCACACACAAATAGTTATATTGGGACAACTCCTAGTGTGGATGCAGTTATACCAGTATAAAAGGGCAGTATAGCTTATTCCCCTTCCTATGCAGGAATAACGATATTGATATAACGCACCTTTTAACCAATACAAGTGCATCCACACTAGGGGTTGAGTTTGTGTAGGGGGACAAGAGGAGTGCATCGCTTTAATTAGTAGTATATATAATGTGATACAGCTTTTGTGTATAGGCAAGCTATGTATGTGCTGTGATAGGTGGAGGATAAGCTTGGCAATGGTACCTGTAAGTTCAAAAGCCACAAAGATAGTGATATATCACTACCAATGTGATATATGCCCCTCTGCCATGTATATTAGCCAAACCGGACAGTCTCTATGTAAAAGAATAAATGGACACAAATCAGACATCAAGAATTATAACATTCAAAAACCAATAGGAGAACACTTCTATCTCTGTGGACACTCAATGACAGACTTAAAAGTGGCAATTCTTCAACAAAAAAACTTCAAAAACAGACTCCAACAAGAAACTGCAGAACTGGAATTAATTTGCAAACTGGACACTATCAAGTTAGGCCTAAATAAAGACTGGGAGTGGATGGGTAACTACAAAAACTAATTTCCCCCTGCTGATACTCACACCTTCTTGTCAACTGTTTAAAATGGGCCGCCTTGCTTACATTGGACTCATTAGCACTACAAAAGTGATTTTTGCTCCCATGGTATTCCCCTTCTTGTCAACTGTTGAAACTAGCCCTCTTCCACCTGAATTGAATTGGCTCATTATCACTGACCCCCCCCCCCACTTAATAAGGCAACTCCCATCTTTTCATATGCTGTGTATTTATACTTCCTTATTGTATTTTCCACTCCATGCATCTGATGAAGTGATTTTAGCCCACAAAAGCTTATGCCCAAATAAATTTGTTAGTCTCTAAGGTGCCAAAAGGACTCCTCGTTGTTTTTGCTGATACAGACTAACACGGCTACCACTCTGAAAGATAGTACATTCAACTGCATGCGTTAAAAGCTGCCTGCTCTGACCTTACTGACTTCTCACTCTATTAGCATCTACCTTTCATGGTGTGTTTTCTTAAATATACAGCAGATGGTTAGCGAGGTCAACATTGGCAGGGTTTCTATGTACATTACCTATTTTGGCATTAGAAACGATTTTTTTTCTGTACTTTTCAGTTAAGCATCCATTCTCTGGCATACGTTCTGAACAGTGTATTGCCAGTTGTGTGATAGACTGCAGCTGTTTTCATATTCTTTGATTGCCCACCTTTGTAATGTGTTGTGATGAAGTATTAATAAGTAATGATGATAAGGCTCGGGGACAGTGCTCACGTCTAACTTGGCCGAGGGACCCCCCCACAAGGGTATGCTGCAGTACTACCCACGCTTTCCATGTAAGCACCTAGACTCACTAAAAGGGACAGGACGCTTGAACAGAAGAGGTCCCGTCCCGACACGCTGGAGCGCGCCACACTCACCGCCTCTGTCAGCCGCAGCGCCAACGCCTGAGGAAGCTGCCATGCCGCTGTTCGCAGATGGACCCTGGCGTGACGTGCGCGCATTGGAACGGCGCCTGAACCAATAGGAAAGAGCGTTGAGGGCTCCAGCCCCGCCTTCAGAACGCGGAGCTCATCGGGACTCGCAGTCTCTCCGCTCTAAGGAAGCGGACTCCAGAAGGGGGTAGGGCCTTGGTTGGGCCCCACCCCTCGTCGCTGTACTCCGCGGGGAAACTACGCTTCCCGGCATGCAGCGGGGCAGGGGAGGCGGGCGGCGGCTGTGAGTGGCCGGCGTGGGAGCGGGGCTGAGTCAATCACAACAATGACTTCTCCGCTGGCGCCCGAGGAGCGTGTCTGAGCCCCGCCGAGCAGCGGCAGCGGCGGCGCTGGGCAGAGGGGCTCGCTGGCCGCCGCTGCTCTCATTGTTCGGAGAGGGACAAAACCACGCTGTGAGCATGTGGATCCCTACAGAGCACGAGAAATACGGCGTGGGTGAGTGGGGCCGCTGGCACTGGTGCCCTGCCGTGGTGGGGCTGGTCCAGGTGGCGATAAGAATGTAACCCCTCCCCAAACCTCCCGGGTGGGGACATGCCTGTAATTCTGCCGTTGTCCGAGGAGTTTGCAAGCGGACGCTGCTGGTTCATGTGTCAGGTGGGGAGGGAGGGAGTGGATCCCTGTTATCACACCCCTTCCCTCCCCCCAGTGCAATGAATAGCTGCAATGATTGAAAATGTGTGTGTGTGGTGGGGAGGGTATGAACAAAACACAATTGGAAAGCATAAGTCTCCCTATAGCCTGATCGCCTCTGCAAAGAGTCTGTGAGGATTGAATAGCATCTCAGTAAAACAGCCCTGTCGGGAGACTCCTCTTCCCACTAGCCTCAGCACCGGAGGGAGGAGAGGGGGAGAGAAAACCACACAATTGTTTAAAAATGGGTATTCCGCTTAACGGGCACGCTCAGTTTAAGCTACTGCCATCTTTCGAGACAGGCACCAGTCCGCAGTTGTATGTGTGTGTGTGTGTGTGTGTGTGTGTGTGTGTGTGGTATTTAATCAGGACAGTAGCTTACTTCCAATGCTAACGTTTTGTTTGGCTGTGAAATGGATTACACAGAGACAGGGAAATGTGTTTTAGTATTTGAAGTTCAAGGTCCTGTTTGTGAGGAGGAGAGACAGCATAGCATCTTCCTATTCAAAAGGTGAACAACAAAGGACGTTAGATGTTTGACTGATGAATCTGGATTTTCTCATCTCTTTTCTCCCCTGGCCCCAGTTACAGAATAGGGAACGTTTCCCTCCTTCTCTGCCCCCTCCTCTTAGTTGCATATTTAAAACTCATATTTTCCTTTTCAACTACTGAATTCAGCCTGATCCCACTGATACTTTTTGGAAGGGCTAAGATTTCCTACCAGCTATATAAACAGCCCTAACAACAATAAAACAATTTTGAAATCCTAGCAGTTTGATTGGGAAATAACCCACTATTGTATCTATAACACTTTTTATTTAAAAAAAAAAGCTTACTGTATAAATGTTGAAAAAATGTATCTTTCATATAGTGTGTGTTGTTTGGGATTTTTGTTTGTGTGGGTTTTTTTTTTGGTAAAAACAAAACAAAGTGACATTTGTGGAAGTCATTTGCACTTGGTTATTATTTGTTCAGCTCCGCCTGAGGGCAGGACTCTGGAGCCCATTAAACTGACTTATGAAGCGATTAAAGAGACTCATTGTAGTTTTTGACACCATCTATTAAAACCACTAATACTTGATCGGCTTTGATGTCTCGACCCGGACAATAGCTGCCATTTCACACAAACGTAGCTGAGGTGCTTCGTAGATCATTGGCATTGCAAGAAACTGTCTGTATATCCAGGTTATATTTGTACATTGAGTTGTGTATGTTATGGAAAATCCACGAGGAACGTAAAGACGTTGTCTGTGTGTGTGTGTGTAATCTCGCTCTGTTTAACAATTAGTAGAGGAGCCAAGACTCATTCAATATGACTATGTCCCATTTGGAGTTGATCCCAGATGTTGCTGTTTTCCAAATGTTAAATCCCATTCATGAGCTCTATAATTTATTTTCTTGACTTCTTTATGTGCCAGGTCACAGCTGGGTTGCTAGATATCGATTAGTCCTCCAGTCCGCTTTCTTTATGAGGATGGGCAGAGGCTTAAAATCCACTCTGGGATTTCCTGGAATGGCATGTAGGATATTACCAGTCAAGTATTTCAAGCTGCAGCACTCCCCTCAATTTTTGTTGTTGAGTGAAGGAGAATATTGCACAGCTGAAGCATAGCTTCCTTTTTGTTGTTTACAATCTGAAAAAATGATTGTTAGTAATCTGCTTTTTTATCTACTCCCTCCACTGATAAAACCCAAAACAAAATCAGTCCCTCCATTATTTGAATAATTAGCCTGTGGCTGCTGAACAATTGAATAGTATTCTTCAGTTAAATTTTTCTGTGCTAGCAAGTACTCTGTACTTGCTTGAGTACTTAACCAAGAGCATCTAGTTGTGCATGCCAGTGTTGGCAGAAATCTTGTGACTGCAGGAGAAGTATCTTTGTAATCTCAATAAGTGTCCCGTTTCCTCTCTTCCCCCCCACCCCCTTTGGATTACTCAAGAACAAATATAAAGATCTTCAAGCTTCCTTTGCTGCTTATATATAATATCCAGTTCTGTGTTTCTTTTTCACTTGCCTCCAAAAGTCCATCCAAAATACTCTTCATCCAGTAGCATCCCATCACTGTTTGTGCATCATCATTACAAACTGCTGAAATATTAAACCATTTCACTTGCTTTGGGAATAGTATTTTACAATCTACATTATATAAACTTTATCCTTGCAAGAACAGCACTCTGAGTACAAAAATTTGTCTTAAACTGCAATTGCAACACAAAGTGATGATGTGGGATATGGGAAAATAATATAATATCCTCCTATGTGTATTGCCTCAAGCTTCTTAGGAAGATGATTTTATATATTCAAAATCTAATATCCTACCTCAAAGACTTGCTTAAACTATTCCTTTTCCAGTCACAGGAAATGGTATGTTTCTGAACATTTATTCTATGTTACTTTGGCATGTTAAACTGCCTTGGTAAAATGGGTACATTATAAAATCCCCTTGAGAATCCTGATTAGTTGTACCAAGCATATGTATCCTTTGTATGAGTGCGCAGGGCTCAGATCAACGTCAAATCTCATCTGCATTTTCAATCTGAATTTTGCAGCACATGCTGTGCGATCCACGCTTCTACTGTGGCATGCCAAAATGGATGAATAACCAAGCAACAGCCACCTAGTTGCACTGAGGGACTGCTGGTAACCAGGTGGCTGTTGCTCACTTGCATAGCCTGACTCTCACTATAAGGAGTATTTAATACATGAGTAACACAATCTTCCCCATCTTCTATGTTTATGAAACTACTGCCAGCTAGCTGCAGAGAGGTGTTTTTTTTTTTTTCCTTTTCGTTGACCAGGTTGCTTTACTCTCAATTCAACTAATAATGGCTACTGCATACTGACTTGGTTAGGAGCATGTCCGTTATGAGTGATAGTAAACCATGGTGCAAAGGTTCTAGGTCTAAACTTGCAGAAAATCTTAATCTTCTGCTGAGAGTTGGACATTGTCTTAAGGTTTACCCCCAGTTTGGTGTGGGGCAGCTTTATCTTTGTCATGTTCTGCCTTCATATGGAATCTGCAATAAGTTGTCCTCCAGCATGCTATTGATGAAGATGTATGCAATATATGCAGTATATTTTTCATTCAAGAAGCTTTATTTCTTTCTTGTGTAGGGAGGGAAACTCTTTTCTGTTTTCTCATGCTGCTGTGTCAGACTGATAACAGTACTCAATAAAAGAACTGGACTGATAGCAATACTGAATAAAAGAACATTGTCCAGTTACAAATAACACTTAAAGCCTAGCATAGAGAGTCTGAAGAGAAGGTAGGAGAGGTGCAATTTTGGAATTTTTGTGAGTATATCTGAAAGTGGTAGACGTGCCTGTTAAACATCTTACACAAATCACAAATGGAGTTGGATCTCATAGGACTTTCATGAACTACACTGTATAATCGGCTCTAGAAGTATCAGAAGTGGTTTGATCAAGACTATATAGCTATGGATATTTCGCACACAATAAATCAGTGAGTAGGCGCATCTTTCAAAGCCAATTCTGACTAGTTGGTGCAAACCTGAGACCTGTAATTGTAATAAAGAAAATGCACTGCTTATTCTGTACATGCTGCTTAAAGAGGAAAAAAGTTCAGTTGATTGCTAAATGAGTAGTCCAAATATAAATAATAGATTTACTCCCTCCCCCCCCAAAAAAAATAATTCCACATACTGCACAATGCCAGATGTGTCAGCATTTTAGTTTGATAAATTCTGTATCTGAGAATATACTTACATTTTCTAGAACATGGTCATTTTATATTGATTTAGTCACTGAATGCTGATGTTAACCTGGGGAGTTATGGGGCATGTGTGTGAGAGAGGAGGGGAGAGTTTGAAAAAAATTAAGACTATCTGAACACAGTGTACAACTTACAAGTAGCATGCACACCCAGACACTGTAGTCATTCGATATAGCACGGTGCACTTTTTAAACTCATACAGATATAAATGCCAAGTCCCTTTGGACTTATGTTATTGTGCTGTTGAGCCATAAATCAGTGCTTCACAAAGTGTGTAAAGGGTGAATGTCTCCATTTTATAAAGGGAGGAACTTAGGGGGTTAAGTGACTTGTTGAAAATCACGTAGTATGGCCATGGCAAAGCAGAGAACTGAACTACCATTCAGTATAGCATGAAAGAATTAACACAACAAAGGCAGTATACAAATAAAACCCATGACCGGAATTCCTCATTCTTATATCCAGGTAGTACCTCAAATTTCAGATATGTCCTTAACTAAATTTACATTTTTAAAATATTTTTGTCTCACTTAATGTCACTTCATTTGTTGGCCCCATCAGGATTTTCTAAAGGGCTGTTGCCCAGTGGGTTATTCATACAGCACCCATGCTCTGTCAAATTTAAGTTTAACCCATAACTTTCTGAATTTAAAACCTTTTTTTTTTTTACGATCCAAGCTTAAATAAACTTTTCAGCTCAGAAACATATTCAACCCATGATATTGGTGAAGGACAAAGATGAGGGTTGAGATTTTCCAAGCTGGCTAGGAGATTTAGCCAAACAACTCCCATTGAAATGATAGAAATTGTGTTGCTAAATATCAAAGTCACCTTTGGAAAATCTCACCCTAGGTACCTGTGCTGATTCTGGAATTGCTTAGCAGCCTTCAGTACTGTTGATGAGACCCAGATTAACAGATCACTGGGCTCTAGGCTAACCCTGGCTCCCCTCTCCTGACCAGCTCCCTCATGCAGGCACTCATTGCAACTCCTCGTCCAAAGTTCTGACTGAGTTACTAGTGCAGGAGCTGGCCTCACAGCAGCGATGAGGAGGAGAAGCACTGCCC